CAGACAAGCTTCATAATGAATATTTAGCTGCAGAAATCTGTCAGGGGCTTCGTCCAGAAGTCGTGGAGGGAACACCAGAAGCTTATAAAAATATAATGGAGCGATGTTGGGATAAAGATCCTTTAAACAGGCCGGATTCATCATTATTGATACAAGAATATGAAAAATTGTATGAAAAAATGATTAAGGATCCAGAGCCTTTACAACCCTCTTACGTCATGCAAAGATCTATACCACAACATGGTAACTAATTGTTTAGATAACGATAAAGTTAATTTGAGGGATTTAATTCTTATTATTAACGTAAATTCAAAGCTATAGCATTTTGGGATCCTTCCTTGGAAAGTACAGAAAGTAAAATGATGTTTATAATTTTGTTAAATTCTTATAATAAAAAGTTCAAACATGCGTTAATTTATTTCGTAAAAAATTTTTCAATTAACTGTTAATAGATTTCGTTAACATATCAAGAGATGGTAATTTTTAATTTTTTAATGATCATAATCTTACTAATTCAGTTATATTTTTATTCTTAAACCGTTCCACTATCCCGAAATATGCTGCAATAGCAGGCAAATTTGCCTGAAAGTCGGTTTAAAGGATAATCAAAGTTCAAGAATATATCGATATTAATTTATTCTGTAAAAAAAATTTCATTTGAATAGTTTCCAAACCATTGACTCTATTCAGCATGCCCTTCTCTGAATATGGTAAATTTTAATTTTTATGGTCATAAAATATATCTCCAATCATATAAATTTCATAAATCGCTTGTTTATTTTATAAAATGCTAAATTCAAATTCAGGTAAGAATTATTCAAGAATTAGCCCCTTCTAAAGTGCAAAGAAATCGTATCTAATCAATTAATTAGACATTCCTTCGGATGAAAATACCGTTGCAAATAAAAATGATATCACTTACGATAGTCAATGCCAGTTCCCTAGCGGCGACTTTTACATAAAGTTGGATGCTTCACCTCCACGCTCTCCAAGCTTGGTTGTTGATATTGAGAATAGTTTTCTACGTGTAGGAACAAAAGTTATTGTCGCCCAACAAAAGAGCGACGTTGAGCATGATAGCAATCAACTTTGGCGTTATGAAGATGGTTTTCTGGTTAATAAACAAACAGATTTATGTCTGGAAGCTGAGACTGGTAGGTCTTATCATAGGTTTAAAACAAAACTTATACCATAATCATAACAATGAAAATTTTACCCGTGATGACTTTCGGTAAATTTAACGGAAAATGTGTTAATATGAGCACTTTTATGATCTTTCCCTATAGTAAAAGCAAGAGGCCGTCTTATCCTTCATCATAGAAGAAGTACGGCTCAAATTAATAATCAAAAGTGGATCCTTACCAGCGAAGGGCGTATTGCATTACAATGTCAACCTAAATTCGTGCTTAGAGCTAAACGCAAAAATATTGTGCTTGCTGATAGTACTTCGAAAGGCTTCAAGAATATTCAATTCATTATACAGCCATTCCATCCTGTGAAGAAATGTAATTTCCCTATTTCTTACCTTTTCAAAAGTTTGATCTATTGTGTCTCATGTTTGTTTTTTTTTTTTTAATTCTCCAATACTATTATTAGGTAATGGTGTGGTTAGATTAGAATTGGTTAGCGCTGAAGGCTTAAAAAATGTTGATAGTTTCCTCGCTGGTAATAAATATATTTTATTTTGCCTTTGAAATTTAAAATTATTATTATGTCAATTTAAACTATCTCATTCATTTAAATAAACAATTAGGACTATCTGACCCTTATGTCCGAATACTTCACGCGGATAATAGTAAAGATATTATCGCTCAAACTAAAGTCATAGACAATGACTTGAATCCAGTGTGGAATGAAGTTCACTATCTACCTGTTAAATATATTGGTGAAAAGTTCATTTTGGAGGTGATGGATTTTAACACTATTATAAAACATAGACCGCTTGGAAATTGCCAATTGGATACTTGTGAACTTATCAAAGAAGGCACTCCAAATGGTATTGACGTGTGAGTATAAAATTTTTATTAGTAAAAAAAAAAACATGTATATATATAATAATTTTAAATCATTATCCTCACGTATATTATAATTGTAGTTGGTCAAACCTTTCCATTCAAGGTCAAATTCATTACAAAGCGAAATTTTTCACTCTAGAACCTCTTCCAAAACCAACTCCCGATTTTCTTGCCAATATTAAGGAGAAACCCTTTGGTCATTCAAAACTTTGCGTTCTTATCACACTACAAGCTCCAAATGGTGGTATTCCTCCTTCTGATACATTAGCCTATCTATTTGGTTTTGAATTTCAGAAAGATCTTTTAAATTTATACAAATCTCAATGCGGTGAAGAGCGTAATTTCAAGATTAATCCTACCGTATGGACCACTAGCATGGTTTTGTGGTTTTTACATTTCTTATTAAAGGATTATAAAAGTGAATGGGATAGTTTTTGTGAGCGTGCTGAACAGTACATCAGTAAAGAAATTAACGATATTGCAATAGAACGTACCGTGATCGCTATTGCTAAAAGGGCTGTCCATGAACGATTTAAAATACCTATAGCTATAGCTAAAAAACCTAAAGTTAAAAGCTTTTTCGGTAGTATTTATAAAAAGGCTGCTAAACTTAGTGATCAAATCGAAAATGCCCTTGCATTTGATAAAAACAAACATGATGACCATGAGAAGGCTGAAGCTCTTATTATCGTTGGAGAATCAGCCACTCCTGAAAAATGCAAAGAAATAGTATCGGATCAAAAAGACGATGGTTCTATTGAATTGAGCGATTCAGTCTGTAATGAATTAGATGTTCCTAAAGAAGAAATCATTAAAACAATTCAAAAGAAGATTAAAAATAATAAACTTAAATCACCCAAGCATTCATCAAGTCTTGGAACTGCAATTAGTATTTCATACCTTAAGAATGCTGCACCCCAGCATGAAAGTTTATGGAAAGATAAATATGATAAAGCCCGTGAATATCTATCAAA